TACTATATCAAGCTATCTAGATTGGTAGTTTGGCTAAAGACTACTAGTTCAGAGTTGTGACTAGTTGAAAATAATAAAGAAGATGCCAGAAAGATAGATACTAGAGTTCTAGTAAACTTTATAAGAATAGAAATAGTGTAATATAGTAGTTAAACAGGTAATTTTTATAATTGCAAGTGTTAAGTAACTATAGTATATTGCATAAAACTAGGTTAATATGTATAAGACATAAAGGTTTTAGTAAGTTTTCTATCAAAGATAAAGTAGTTCTAAGAATACTAACTAGTATCAAGAATTTGAATAAGTGTAATCTTAAAGATGTTCTTATAATACAAGAAAGATTGCATATGCAGAAGGTTTAAATAAGCAAAATTTTTAGTTGGCTTGCAAGTATGGCATTTAGTATAAAACTTATATAGCAATATATAAGTAGACTACTTAAATTAAATATTAAAAGTGCACATGTAGCTAGTTGTAACCTTTAATATAAGAGAGCTTCTGAAGGCAACCTATGTTTTATATACTTGAATAAAAATATCATATCTTGAAGATAGAAACTTTAATATTTAAAAAAAAAAATTAATCAATCAATATAAAATTGTTTTTCAAATTATTATTGATTTTCTTCTTAACATTAATAAACAATTATATAAGCAATTATAAAAAGCATATTGTATCTATTTCTCTAACTGAAAAAAATAATAACACAAATTCCAATCTTAACCAATTAACAAATCTTTAACATTATTTAACTTAGCTACTAGACATACATGTTTTTAAAAAAACTATATTTACTTATATCTTTATAAATTTTTATACTTATTTTAATACATGCTCTTCGATTGAACAAGCAAATTGCAAAATTAAGATTTAATCTATTTTATAAATCAAATATAATATATTATTAAATTATATACTAAATATTCAAATTTAGATAAGCTTTAACTATTCTAATAGGTTTAGATTACAGATAAATTAGTCTAAACTTTTATTTTTGTATATAATTTTTAATTTATTTGTTTTATACAAATAGTTGTAGCTATATAGTTAGCAGTTTAATAATTAATCTTAATTGAAAATATATATATATATATTTTTTTGCTTTTACTAAGGTTATAGTTATCAGTAATTATTGCCTTTATTGTATTTTTAATTATGATTACATAACTTATACAAGGTAAGTCTATAACTAGTTACATGTATAACTTTTAGTTGTCTATTTTAAGTAGTTTGTTTATATAATAGGTTTTATACTAGCTGTTATATCTGCAATCTACTAGAAGATTACTTATTTAAACACTCTGATCCTTATACTTATACTAACAAATAGTATACAAGTTCCTATATACTAAAGTATTATCTAATCTAATCTTGATCTCACTGTCTGTATATCTGTTAAGCTGTTATATATTTCAAAGTATATCATCTGATTGTAGAGCTTTAAAAGAAATATGTGTCATTTCACTAACAATCAATTTACTTATCTACTATTTTACTGACAATCAATTTGCTGACAAGTTTATTTTACTAACAACTATTTTATTGACAGCTTATTTCACTAACTAGGTTTTTTTTAAAATTGCACTAATATTAACTCTAATTTCAACTAACCTTAATGAAAATGATCAGAATTATTTTGTTAATAAAATAATTGTTAATGAAATAACTATTGATGAAATAAACTTGCTAATGAATTAACTGTTGTTGAAATAGGCTGTTGTTAAAATAATTGTTAGCAAAATGAATACCACTCTTCTAGAAGCTTTCTTGCTAATTATTTAATCTTTTGTTAATAAAGCTTGTTTTTGCAAAGTTCACTTAGACCCTAGTACTAACTTTATAGTATATTTTTAGTACTTATAATATACTCTGTTTTTGACTTTAGACTTTTATTCAAATAGCTCAGAAAAACTATGCTCTGTTTTTGATATCTTAGAATCTGCTTTTTAAGGTCTTTTTCTTTTAGTTTGAGACTTTTAGCAGCCTGATTAATAGTATTTCTCATCTAAGGTTTTTGTTTATCTGATTCCTTTCATATTGGTATCTATTTTTTAGATTTAGTCTTTATAGTAATACTGTCAAAGATCTATGCTATCTCTTTACTCAGGTCTTTCTAAGTAGGCTTTGATTTTCCAGTTCATAGATTTATATAGCCATAAGGACTTATCTTGGATTTGCATTATCTGATAACAGTTTGCATTACTTTGTATAACTTCAACATTATGCAAATGCCCCATGATCTGCTAGTCATGCTAGTACAATCATGTTATAAATATCTTATTCTAACTGATTAACAAAATATTGTTACTATAATTCTGTTTATATATTATATAAGTGATTATTTAAATTTTTGATATCAATAGGTTTTAAACTCACTACTTACTACTTGGAAGTTAACAACTTATTCACTTTACTAAATCACTACACCTAATTGAAAATATTAATTTTAGTTATAACATATATATACATAACTATTTTAAATTACTAATAAAAATATAGACAAGACCTTACTTTAATATTAAAAAAAAAAATTTAATTGATCAAATTTAATACTTTTATGTATATTATTAAAAAACTTTAAACCATTTTAAAAAAACTTTGTAACATATATAAGTATATACTGTATTTTTTAAATATAAAGTCTTTGTCTTGAAAATAATCTTATAAAACATAATAAATCATATGATCCAAACTTGATTTTTAAGGCAAAAATCCTATATAATAATAGTTCAAAAATTTACCATTATAAGTAAATTATTTTATTGATATTTTGTGAAATTTTAATAAAAATTAATTGTAATTTAAAAAAATTTTATAAGTAGTATATTTCAATTTTATATGAAAATTTCAAAATATCATATCAAACTATATAAAAATAATCTACATACCCTCTACTCTTAAAATAATAATATAACTGTTACTTCTTTAAGCATAATGCTATATCTAAAAGTTTATTTAACTACTACTCTACAATATAATATTACCAATCTGACAGTTTTTTTATAGAAAAATGAAAAAAAAATGAAAAAAAACTTGGACTAAAAAATATACAAATTTATTTTTTTAAAAAAAACTTGAAGATATTTTGACAACCATTCGATAAAATATGGTATACTTTTTTTTTATTTATTTGATTCTATGAATCTATAAAATTCAAATAAAAAAAAGTATATCAAATTCATTAGATGAGTTGTCAAAATATTTTAAAAATCACCCATCTTTCGTTGTATTTTGTTGTATTTTTTCTTTTCTTTTTTTTTCTTGTACCTTTTTATTGTATTCTTTTTTAATTCATATATATTAAAAAATGGAAATGTGAAAAATACCCGCTCCAAAAAAATATTATATTTTCAAGATTAACTAATATTATAAGCTAAACCTAAAGGATTTAGAAGGTTTGGGTTTTGAGATCCATCATTAATTGAATGCGTTAAGTTATAACGATTCTGAAATAGCATTTAGGGTGGTTTGCAAGCTGGTAAGACAGCTTGCCAAATAATAGTGGCGCCACTATGGTTTTGCAACCACTCTAGGTGCCACGAATAATTTATAAACAAGCGGTAAAAGTTTTACACTTGAATAATTTATACCATAACGAATATATTAGCGTTAGAGAACTTGCAAAAGCTGTTAGTTACACATAGTAGCGGTAGATGATTGATTTGGAAATTCTACAGGTTCCAATACTTAAGTGAGTTCAAATATATTGAAATTTGAAAGAGAATAGTTAATGCAGTACATAGAAAATAGGCTTAGTAAACTATGTCAAGTTAATTGCTTGTAGTATTTCAAGTCATTCCAATATTCACGCTTGTTATTTAAGTTGATTGATTGTCAACTTTTCTACGTATGAGATATGGCAAATATATACCAAATCGACCACAATTATCGTTATTACTGCCGGAATATATTTCACGGTATATGACGAAAGAGGGATATATATATCTAAATAGGTATAAGAATTGCTATACGTTTCACTTTCCTAAAAAATTGCAAGGCGATTTATTACAATGATTAATAATACACAACTTAGTATTATGACAAATAGCTGACAAATACTACGTAATATTTAGAAGATATGCCTAATTTTATCGGGCATTAGGTACGTAACGTACGTATAAAAACACACCATATCAAGAAATATACTAATACGGCAAATCTAATTAATGTTAAGTGAAAAAATTAACATACGTATAAACTATGACTGATAATACATATAATTATGTATATAAAATATATAAATATATTATAAAATATAATTACAGTAAGTCGATACAGCTAACCAACTATATCGATATACTTTTAAAAATACAAGTAACAAAAATAAGAAGAAAATCAAGTAATGGTAAGAGATGAAATAAAATAAATAATAACCAGAATAATCCGGATAAAAGTCCAGTGATTCAAGAGTAATTCAAGTCATTAAGTGATTACAAAAAAGGAATTGTATATTTGCATATGTACATCAAATACATAAAAAATTTTCACACAGTCGCAGCGATCAACACATTCAAAATTGCATATATTTATATACTTGTTACATATATATATACATAACTTGATGAGCGAAAATTTATGGATCTGCATGAAAAAATAGTTTGTTATTGCCACGCACACAAATTTCGCTTCACTGGGAATAAAACCAGAAACTGGAATACTGCAATGAGATTGGTAAAATTTCCAGATACAGATAGTAGATCTTTCCGGAAAAAGTTTATTAAGGTACGTATGTATCTAGTGTTAACACTAAGCCACTTATTTTGTGTATAAATGCTTATGCTCCTTTACTCCTTCATTATACACCAATCATGCGCCTAAAATTGACAAACAAAATAGTCATCGGACCAAATTATTTGATTGAGTAATGAAATATATATATATATATATATATATAATAAACATAATTACACTAATATTTAAAAACTTTCAGTTTTACACGTCTTTTAAGTCTTGTATATAAACGAAATTTTTACATTTGTTTTTTTTTAAAAAAAAAAGCCATGTCATTATCTTTTCATTCTCAACTATCTGATAACCTTGGTACTCTACTCGAACACGCAGAAGACTATGACGTTACGATTAAAGTAGGAAAGGCCAAAAGTGAAAATAAACATTTTCGTGCACATTCGGTTATTCTAAGAGCAAGGTCAGAATATTTTCGAGCAGCTTTATCAAATAAGTGGGCAAAGAAAGAAGGAACGAAATATGTGTTTGAAAAGCCTAATATTAGACCGATAGTATTTGAAGTGATACTTAGGTATTAATTTATAAGTTTTTTTTATATACTTTTATATATATTCATATATTTATATATTTATATGTTTATATTTTTGATTTTTTATATTCTATTTTTTAAACCTACGTGTTCTAATTATTTTATTTTAAACCTACGTGTTATATTTATCTTATTTTATTTTTTTTTCACTAGGTATATATATAGTGGTAATATCGTACTAGATAAACTTAGCGGAAAAGATATAGTAGAACTTTTAGTGGCAGCTGATGAATTAATATTTGAAGAGCTTATATATCCATTACAAGATTATCTTCTGAAAAATCAATTAACATGGATTCAAGAGAATATTTTATACGTTTTAAACACAGTTGTAAAAATAAATGCATGCAGCCAATTAAAATTTCATTGTATATCAATAGTTTGTCCGGATCCTGTTAAATTTTTTGAATCACAAGAATTTATCGAATTAGATGAGACCACTTTAGTATCATTATTAAATCGAGATGATTTATGTTTGGAAGAAGGAAAAATTTGGGATCGAGTACTTAAATGGGGTTTAATCAATACACCAAACTTAAAGAATTTGGACATTGTAAATTGGAGTACAAGAGAATTTAATGCATTAGAAAAAACTTTACAACGATGTATTCCATTGATAAGATTTGGACAACTTTCAATTGAAGAATTTAATACTAAAGTTAAACCATTCATAAAGATTTTGCCATCAAATTTGAGATCAAGGATTGTCCAACATTTATTGGCTAAAAGACAACCGGAGACTAATTTGATCACAATACCGACAACCCCAGAAAGAGCGATAGACTCAATCATTATTACGCAACAACAAGCTGCACTTATTGCTTGTTGGATAGATCGAAAACCAGTGACGGAGTCAACGTCTTTATCTGATATGTTTCCAATTCCGTATTATTTCAGGTATTTACTTGAATCATTAAATATATAAAACATATATAATCTATATAATATATATATGTAATACACATATATCATGAAATTTTAAATAATAATAATAATTAATAACATTTTTTTTTTTATTAAAAAGATTATTATTTCGTGGAAGTCGAGACGGATATTTTGCTAAAACATTTCATAGTCAATGTGATGGTCAGGGTGCTACAGTAGTTGTTGTGAGAGTAAGTAAATCGGATGAGTTAATAGGAGGTTACAATCCGATAGGATGGTCTTCACCAAGAGATGTTGAGTGGCGTGGTACACGTGATAGCTTTATATTTTCTTTAGGTGATGGAAAAGAACTAAATAAAGCAAAACTAAGTAGGATTAAAGACGATTATGTAAATGATGCAATTCAACTTCATGATCGATTAGGTCCATCATTTGGATTTTACGAATTGAAAATTGTTGACGATGCTTCTCGAGCTGAAACAAGTTATGCATCCGGTGGATTGAAATATGAACATACTATTAGGGATAAATGGAATTATTTCAGAGTAGATGATTATGAAGTTTTTCAAGTTTTAAAGAAATAACAAGTATAAAATGACATTTTAAACAAAAAAAAAAAATTTTGCATAGTTTGTAATATGTTACATATATTATGTTAAAAATAATATTTCAAGTGTAAATGTTATACAATATGAAATATTTATCGTTGGTTGTAATTTTTTTAATGCATTTGACCCTTTTTTTTCAATAAAATCATGTTGCACATACAGCTGCGATCGCATCATTCACCAATTCTTAGATTTTAGATATAATTTTTAACTTTTAAAACGTATATCAAAAAGGTAACTCTGAATGCACAAAAATGCATTTTTTGTTTACCGATCCCCTACAAAAGGTTAAATGCTAATTAACCAAATTTTACACGTGTTACGATTAACATCGTAATCATCGTAATCATCGTAACACTGTTTGCAATTATCTATCAATGTTAGGCTTCTTGTGGCAAACACACGCCAAAAAGGCAGCCTCGTGTATTTACCATATCGTTATTACCGAATATATATATCGATATATCAATATTATACGTATAGTCTCTATTATTCTGTATTCTCAGGTTGTATTGATACAAATCGTAACAGATATTATTTTTAAAATCAAGAATAAATCTTGTTTATACAACCATTTAAAAGAGAATTATGTAAAGCTATTTTGTTTTATGGTACCACAATTGGTAACTCAGGTTTCATTATCGTTATAAAACTAATTTTCTATGGTATCCCTATGGTTTTATGATTATTATGGAATAAATTCGAAGATTATGGAAAATTTTCAACAGCACTAGTGTTACCAACATAAAAATTTTTTTATTATTAAAATTCGTATAATTGATTTTGACTAGAATATACGCAGGGACATGGCGAGGGCTTGACCAGCCAGAGCATGTCAAAAAATTCTCCCATACCTCAAACCTAGATATAAACAAACATTAATGTTAAATCTAGATATAATAACAAACATTAATGTTAACATTAAAAATCACGCACATACGTATGTATGTATGTATGTATGTATAGTACTAAAAAAATATCCGTAACTTTCAATTATCCCTTACACCATTTTACAGGTAAATTGCCCTGCAAATTTTTGTTATAATTAATCTATGATCGAATTATCAATCTATCTATATTGGATCATAGTTTATCTCATAATTCATTTAATAATATTCATTTTAAGCTACACTATGACATAGGGCGTATAAGGATAAAAAAATATCATAATACGTATGTATAAAAATCTTGCTAATCACTTTTATTAATTCATAGTAAATCATAGCATATATATATATGTATGACCTTCATTTGCATCAGCTGTCGTTTGATCATATAATAATTCCTGTTTTTTTTTACATTTAAAGTTAATTTAAAATAATTTATTCAATGAATTAAACGAGTTACAATGATTTATTATGTAATTAACCCCGAATTAAGTGATTTTGGAACTTATAATTTTATGGTTAAGGGTCTTTTGTCGTTATAATTCTAATTTTTAAAAAAATGTATTAACTGATTATCGATATACAGTAAATTCTTGGTTAAAAAAAGAAAATAAATTAAATAATTTCGATTAATTATTTATGGTTCTTGTATAGTAGTAATTGACGACTATACTATTTTTTTCATTTGTATAGTTTACGTTATCAGTTTAAATTCTTTCCTTTCAGCTTTTTTTTTTTAACGACTATACTAAAAAATTTCCATATTTGTTTAGTCTACGTTATTGCTGTTTTTACATCTTTTTTTATGGCTCAAACTCAAAGTGAAAAAGCTCAGTGAATATATAATATTATATAGGGAATTTCTATTTTCACCCGGGTTAAAGTCACATATCACGTGATTTTTAAGCCACAGTGGCGCGGCCCAAAAATGTTAAACCTATGTAGCTCACCCACAAGATTTTTTTCGGCATGTGATTCTAGCCAATTAGATTGAAGGATCAGGTGTAATATGAAAATCACGTCTTTTTAAAAAATCATCATTAACTCGAAATTTTACTTATGAAACTGCCTTCTGCGTTCTAATAAAAAAAATTTTTTGTAAAATTTTAGTATAAGTTATGTTTTTCTTTGTCTCTTATCCTAACCTTAAGATGGTGTTTCTTACTTTAAAATCTTTTGCTTTATTAAATTGTTTTGATTTTATATTACATCTAATCCTTTGATATAATTGGATAAAAATCACATATTAGAAAAAATCTTGTAAGTGAGCTACTATTAATAAGATATTAGCCTAAGTTACATACTCACTTCTACTAAACTAACCTTTTTTAATATTATCATCAAAAAAAGCTTGAACACATGATAATAATAAAAATTTTTAATTCATTAAAATTAAAGTTAACATATATTATTATTAGATAATAGTAGAAGTATATTAGTAAAATCACTCAAGGAAAATTTTTTGTTAGTGCACTAAAGGTAGTTTCCTATATAAATTTCGAGTTATAAGTAAATTTTAGTAAAACAAATGTTTATTTTTATTTTTTCTAATTATGCAATGTTATATCTAATCTTGTAATCTCATTGGTTCATATTATGAAAATATTATATAAATATGATTTTTGATAATAATAATGGGAAAGTTTATTGACATTCTTTCCGCTAATCTACATTTTTATAAGAAAGCAAAATCTAAATTATAAAAAAAGTAGAAAATTAGACTAAGAACGATACTTTAAACAACTAAGAAATAATTTCAAGAAGGAAAAAAGAAATAGACTTAGAACAATAACTGGAAAAAATAGAAGCACAACAGAAAATTTTGGACTCTTATAAAATTGAGACGAAAATTTTGAAAAATTTGGAGATTTGACTTAGACCCTGAATAATAGTAAATAAACATATAATACGTATCAACAATTTTTGATAAACAAAGTACACAGAGCAAACATATCCTATTTAGAAAATATAAATATATTAGCAAAATTAACAACAAACAAACTATAGGAGATTCTAAAAATAGTAAACATCAATAGAATAGTCTAGAAACAGATATACAAATCATAATGAAAATACCTCATGATCAATTTTTAATTCAATATATGCAAGGAATAGGTAATATAGTTCGTAGATATTTAAATAGCTGTAAGTTGGATCAAGTACTAAGAACAACTATGTACAAGAACCCAAGTGACATCAAAATTATAGCGAAAGGTCTAGCAATCAATGACCCAAAAAATATTACAACAAAAAACTTAACACTATATGGCCAAATACTTGAACCGCTTAAAGTTGAAACAGAAATAATAATAACTTTACCAAAAAAGTTCATTAAAGATTGGGCCAACAAAATAAGAATGGCAAATCTTAACTCAGCATCAGTTGAAATATATAGTAGATATAAGCAAAAAGAAAATACAAAAAGAAGAAGAAAAAATGGAAGAAGTAGAAAAAAATCAAAATGAAAAAGAGAATCTCAACAATAATATACTCTCAAAGAAAAGATGTCAAGCAATTAATAATGAAACAGAATTGAATACAGATGTTGAAGTCATAACAAGCCGAATTAAAAAACTTAATATAGAACAGCAATACCAAGAAGCAGACATGAACTATTTTACAGAAATAAGAATAGAAGTTGGAAAAGAAAAGGTCAATGAAAACATACTAGTAGAACTAACAGAAAGTGAACAAATAGAGTTAGAAGACCTTATATCATTGCCTACCCCTTCCTTCTCTTCATCTTCTATCTCATCTTTAGCCTCAATAGAACACAGTAATTGGTCTCCTAAATACAGAACATGTACAGAAAACAAGTCCTTTAAGGGTAATTTCCCTACCTATATACTACTGTGAGAAACAAAAGAAGAAAGAATTAAATATATTCAATGGATTCTAGAAGAAAACAAACATATAAGAACAATCAAAGAAGCTTTTAAAAAAAGAAATAATTGGATTGAAGTTGACTTTGATTGTGAG